ATCTCCCGTTGTGGAGCACAGGCTCTGGACGTGCAGGCTCAGCGGCCATGGCTCACGGGCCTAGCTGCTCCGTGGCATGTGGGATCTTCCCGGACCAGGGCACGAAACCGTGTCCCCTGCATTGGCAGGTGGACTCTCAACCACTGCGCCACCAGGGAAGCCCTGCTTCAGATATTTTTAACAGGAAAGTGGCAAGTGACCTCTCTAACCACATTCACTGGTGGGTATATCTTCCCCATTGCTTTTTTCGTTTGTATGTTATTGAAAACAGGGCAAGTTTTCTCCAGATGTTTTTTCTGTTGTTTTGTTTCTTAAATAAATGAGGGGATGCTATATCCCCAAGTCAGTACTTCGTGGTTGAAAACCCTCCCTCCGAAGACTGCCCATGTCAAAGCGGGTGGAGACCTCACAGCGTACTAATAACGTGTCGTCCTTGATGAAGGTTCTTTGTCTTAGGGCTTCCAGATGCATAAAGGTCACATAGCCAAACCCTTTGGGGTTCCGTGGGATTGTGGGTCTCTGGAAGGCAAGCAGCTCTGGTTTGGCATCCATTATCTCTTCATGGTTTTGCCTTACAGGTGCTTCAGACTGATCAAGGATGGTAAGGCGTATCGTACCCTGGAAGGGCCAAGGGAGGTGGCTGTCATACTCTCCTTGCATCGTGTGGACAAAGAGCGATATGTAGTTGGCACAGCGCTGTGCAGTTGGTAGCTGCAGGTGCAGGCGCATGCATAGTTTGTAGCCGGGTTTGCCTGTGTAGAATCCGGGGCTGTGAATGACAACAGGTTTCTCTTCTTCTTGAGATTTCAAGTGCATCCCAAAATTGCCAATCTTCCAGATGTAAATTCCATTGCACTGCTGTGCTTCTATTTCAGCAACTTTGTCCTCAAGGGTTCGAATAGTTCGTTTGAGGTCACTTACATACGTGCTCTGAGTTTCCATTTTTGCAGTCAGCTCCCGGATTTGATGGTCTTGTCTTACAAGGCGACCCTCTAACTGTTGAATGGTTTCTTGGAAATTCTGGACCTCTGAGTGACACCCAGAGGAAACCCGGGGCAGAGAGGCAGAATCACATGGCAGCATGCCACGCTGAGGTGCAGGAGCTATCGCAAGGCTTAAGGTCTGAACAGCCTGGGCCATCATTCTCATGTGCGACTGGGTATCCTCTTGCAGGTGGCGTGCCAAGTGATTCCTCTGCATCTGAAAATCATGCACAGGCCTTAGGTTAGGAACAGAGACGTGAGCACCAGGAAAGGGACCTAGCCAAGCCAAATAAAAGGTTTTTAAGCCATGTCATCACTTCCCTCAATTCTCTACAACCTTCTTTGACTTCATCAGATTCTCGATCCAGTAAGATGATCTTGCCTCCTAATTCCCTGAAAAACCGAGAGGCTATCTGCTGAATACTCGTTCAGGGACTCAGAAAAAAATCTCCCTCCTACCTGTAAAAGTATCAGGATCTACACTCATCCTTCTTTTCTGATTCAGAGCTGACTCTCCTCTTGTCCTAGATTAATGCTTCACCTGGGCTCTAACTGGCACCTGCCCCTTTTCAACACCTCAGAGATTCTGCTTAGCTATCCCCTTTCTCCTTTATTTTCAAACATTCTCTCCTCTTAACCCTTCCCCTCAGAATAGAATTAGCAAAGTCTTTCCTATTTTAAAAAAAGGGGCAAACCTCTCTATTGATCTTGTATCTCCCTCTAGCTAGTATCATTTTCTCCCTTCTCCTTTTATAACCAAGAGGAGTCCACCTGCGCTGCCTGCCCCCAATCCCTCACTTATTTTTACACATCTGTTGCAAAGTGGAATCTTCCCTGTCTTCATACTCTTCTAAGATCATCGAGAATAGCCTGTTATATGAAAAAAAAAAATCATATAACAATTTTTATTTTAAGGGGAATTCATGTATATTACAGAGAAACAGGAAGTGTAGATGATCAAAAAGAAAATAAATTACCTATTATCTCACCTAACTACCATTAACATTTTGATACATTTCCTTTAAGTCTTTGTCTCTACGCACACAAACAATACAGAATTTTCTCACAAAGTGTAACCATACTATACACTATTTGCTCACTTTATTTTTTTAATTATTAAAACACATACTTACTGTAAAAAAGTCAGATAAAAAGGCACAGTGGAAAAGCCGAAGTGTAATCGCACTCTCCAGAAAGATCAACTTATCATAAACAATGCTCCCTCTCAGACATTTGACACAACCGATCACTAGGTCTTGAAACTAATTTTGGAGATCCTAACAATAACTTCTCCTTGCCTGTTTCATCAACGTCTGAGACTGTTCATTCATGGCTCCTTTCCTGTTCTACTTCTCTTTCTTGTACACTCTATATGATCCCAATCACACCTCCCATTATCATCACCAACTAATTCCCAAAATTAATATTCTGAGTCCCAATTTCTTGGAGCTTAAGACCACATAAACAATGTGTGTTGGCCATCTCCAATCCACGGGTATCCTCCACTACACTATATAACTTAATTTTCTTGATCTATATTCAAGAATTAAAAGGAAAAAAAAAACCTTACCTTTTCATGGCAACCAAAAGTACTGAATGTGCATGGAACTGGGGCTGTAGGACAGTCTAGATCATAATGATTAGGCAACTGAAAACCAAAACAAAGGTTGAAAAATGTTTTCCCCTGCATATCATAGTCTAGTTTGACAAGATCACACTTGAAGAGTTACACTTCATCTAAACAAAATCATATACTGTCAGTGGCTGACTTTGTTACAATGGCTGAGTGAATAGTTGCAACAGAAACCAGTTAGCCCACAAAGATTAAAATGGTATTTACAGACATCCTCCAGCTGGATTTTAGCCTGGACAAACCATTCTCCCTGCCCCACTGTTGGTCCACCACAGGAAAGAATAATTAGGAACAATAAGATGTCACTGAAATATCTGTAGCTGATGAGATGATCAGACTGGCATTTGAAAAAGCCTGGTTCAGTGTAAAATGATTGTGAGAGGATCAGCCTGGTACCTGGGAGAACAGCTCTGTGGCTGATAGGGTCTTGGTGCTCGGGCAGGTGTCAGGCCTGTGTCTCTGAGGTGGGAGAGCCAAGTTCAGGACACTGGTCCACCAGAGACCTCCTGGCTCCATGTCACATCAAATGGCGAAAGCTCTCCCAGGGATCTCCAGCTCAATGCTAAGACCCAGCTCCACTCAACGACCAGTAAGCTACAGTGCTGGACACCCCATGCCAAACAACTAATAAGACAGGAACACAACCCCACCCATTAGCAGAGAGGCTGCCTAAAATCATAATAAGGTCACAGGCACCCCAAAACACAGCCCCGGACGTGGTCCTGCCCACCAGAAAGACAAGATCTAGCCTCATCCACCAGAACACAGGCACCAGTCCCTTCCACCAGGAAGCCTACACAACCCACTGAACCAAGTTTAGCCACTGGGGACAGACACCAAAAACAACGGGAACTACAAACCTGCAGCCTTCTAAAAGGAGACCCCAAACACAGTTAGTTAAGCAAAATGAGAAGACAGAGAAATATGCAGCAGATGAAGGAGCAAGGTAAAAACCCACCAGACCAAACAAATGAAGAGGAAATAGGCAGTCTACCTGAAAAAGAATTCAGAGTAATGATAGTAAAGATGATCCAAAATCTTGGAAATAGAATGGAGAAAATACAAGAAACGGTTAACAAAGACCTAGAAGAACTAAAGAGCAAACAAACAATGATAAACAACACAATAAATGAAATTAAAAATTCTCTAGAAGGAATCAATAGCAGAATAACTGAGGCAGAAGAACGGATAAGTGACCTGGAAGATAAAAGAGTGGAAATAACTACTGCAGATCAGAATAAAGAAAAAAGAATGAAAAGAATTGAGGATGGTCTTAGAGACCTCTGGGACAATATTAAACACACCAACATTCGAATTACAGGGGTCCCAGAAGTAGAGAAAGAGACAGGGACTGAGAAGATATGTGAAGAGATTACAGTTGAAAACTTTCCTAATATGGGAAAGGAAATAGTTAATCAAGTCCAGGAAGAGCAGAGAGTCCCATACAGGACAAATCCAAGGAGAAAAACGCCAAGACACATATTCATCAAACTATCAAAAATTAAATACAAAGAAAAAATATTAAAAGCAGCAAGGGGAAAACAACAAATAACATACAAGGGAATCCCCATAAGGTTAAGAGCTGATCTTTCAGCAGAAACACTGCAAGCCAGAAGGAAGTGGCAGGACATATTTGAAGTGCTGAAAGGGAAAAACCTACAAACAAGATTACTCTACCCAGCAAGGATCTCATTCAGATTCGACAGAGATATTAAAACCTTTACAGACTAGCAAAAGCTAAGAGAATTCAGCACCACCAAACCAGCTTTACAACAAATGTTAAAGGAACGTCTCTAGGCAGGAAACACAAGAGAAGGAAAAGACCTACAATAACAAAGCCAAAACAATTAAGAAAATGGTAATAGGAACATACATTATCGATAACTACCTTAAATGTAAATGGACTGAATACTCCAACCAAAAGACAAAGACTGGCTGAATGGATACAAAAAGAAGACCTGTATATATGCTGTCTACAAGAGACCCACTGCAGACCTAGGGACACATACAGACTGAAAGTGAGGGGAGGGAAAAAGATATTCCATGCAAATGGAAATCAAAAGAAAGCTGGAGCAGCAATTCTCGTACCAGACAAAATAGACTTTAAAATAAAGACTGTTACAAGAGACAAAGAAGGACACTACATAATGATCAAGGGATCAATCCAAGAAGAAGATATAACAACTGTAAATATTTATGCACCCAACACAGGAGCACCTCAATACATAAGGCAAATGCTAAGAGCCATTAAAGAGAAAATTGGCAGTAACACAATCATAGTAGGGGACTTTAACACCCCAATTTCACCAACGGACAGATCATCCAAAATGAAAATAAATAAGGAAACACAAGCTTTAAATGACACATTAAACAAGATGGACTTAATTGATATTTATAGGACATTCCATTCAAAAACAACAGAATATACTTTCTTCTCTAGTGCTCATGGAACATTCTCCAGGATAGATCATTATCTTGGGTCACAAATCAAGCCTTGGTAAATTTAAGAAAATTGAAATCATATCAAGTATCTTTTCTGACCACAGCACTATGAGACTAGATATCAATTACAGGAAAAAAACCTGTAAAAAATACAAACACATGGAGGCTAAACAGTACACTACTTAATAACTAACCGATCACTAAAGAAATCAAAGAGGAAATCAAAAAATACCTAGAATCAAATGACGATGAAAACACGATGATCCAAAACCTATGGGATGCAGCAAAAGCAATTCTGAGAGGGAAGTTTATAGCAATACAATCCTTCCTCAAGAAACATCTCAAATAAACAACCTAACCTTACACCTAAAGCAATTAGAGAAAGAAGAACAAAAAAACCCCAAAGTCAGCAGAAGGAAAGAAATCATAAAAATCAGACCAGAAATAAATGAAAAAGAAATGAAGGAAACAATAGCAAAGATCAATAAAACTAAAAGCTGGTTCTTTGAGAAAATAAATGAAATTGATAAACCAGTAGCCAGACTCATCAAGAAAAAAAGGGAGACGACTCAAAACAATAGAATTAGAAATGAAAAAAGAGAAGTAACAACTGACACTGCAGAAATACAAAGCATCATGAGAGATTACTACAAGCAACTATATGCCAATAAAATGGACAACCTGGAAGAAATGGACAAATTCTTAGAAAAGCACAACCTTCTGAGACTGAACCAGGAAGAAATAGAAATTATAAACAGACCAATCACAAGCACTGAAATTGAGACTGTGATTAAAACTCTTCCAACAAACAAAAGCCCAGGACCAGATGACTTCACAGGTGAATTCTATCAATCTAGAGAAGAGCTAACACCTATCCTTCTCAAACTCTTCCAAAATATAGCAGAGGGAGGAACACTCCCAAACTCATTCTATGAGGCCACCATCACCTTGATACCTAAACCAGACAAAGATGTCACAAAGAAAGAAAACTACAGGCCAATATCACTGATGAACATAGATGCAAAAATCCTCAACAAAATACTAGCAAACAGAATCCAACAGCACATTAAAAGGACATACACCATGGTGGGAGAGTATGTGCTCTAGAGTGGGAGGTCGCACTTCTCCTTTCTTTAATCAAAGAATAAAACTTTCCTTTGCGTCTGCACCGAACGCGTTCTCATTTTATTGGCTCCAACGACACCAGGCAGAAGGACCCTTGTTGCAGCCCGACTTGAAAAGCTCTGCAAAGGTGCCTAGAATAAGGAGCTCTTAGAACTGGAAGATACAGTCCTCTTTCTTCCTGTCTTACAAAACCACCACTAAGGAGTCATCACTGTTGGAGGCTAACAATAAAACAGGCTCACTGGAATTTCCTGAAGCCGAGTGGATGAAAGGCTCTTGCTGCTCCAGCCAGGAGTCAGGACTCTGCCTCTGAGG